CAAAGTTAGTTTAAAGCTGCAAGTGGCACCTGAGGAGGCTGCTCGTGACTGCGTGGCACATGCCTTGGACATTATGCCATGCATTGCCCAATTATCCTATGCCCCCGGGCTCCGAAAGTAACGCGTAGTTGCTGCATGCGAGATAGCCAAACGCAAGCAGTTTGGCAGCCGTTTGTTCTAAAGGGGCTTTTTTCCTGGCCTGATCCTGCAGTGTCTTGATTAGTGTAATCTACCAAACTTTTTTTTTTTTTCCTTCTCTATTTTTCCCACTTTTTGGCTACACAATATAGTCCAACGAAAAATGCATCTTATGTACTCATTGGACAGCGACGGCAAGCGCGTTTACACGCTCAAGGTATGGATACTGGGATTTGGCAGGTAGCGAGGTCGAGCAACGCATGCTAAATGTGAAGCTGTATTTTTATTGTGTAGAAGATCACTCCTTCGGGCGAAATCACAAAGTCGGCGCATCCTGCGCGGTTCTCGCCCGATGACAAATACTCCCGGCAGCGTGTGCTGCTGAAGCGGCGGTTTGGCATCCTGCCGACGCAGCAGGCCGAGATAAAGTGCTAAGAGAGCTGCTCCAGCAATGATTGGCTCCCCCTTTTCACAAGTTATGCGCGTGACAAATGCGATCCGCACATTGCACAGGCCATGCTGTCTGGAACAACTTTTAGTTTCTACTCTTTCAAATTATAAAGTGCTTTTTAAAACATCCCTCTTTTCGCCATGGGTCTTGTCAGAAAGTGTCTGCTGTCGCTGCTATGCAGAGACGATGCCGCGTCGTCTTGCAGCAGCACCATTGCCGAGCAGAGCATCAAACGGCCACCGGTCCACAAACATCGCAGTTCTGAAAAGCACCATAGCGAACTGACCCAATGCACCGCGTTTGAGCTGCCACAGCCCTTCAGCGACTACGAGTCATACAGCAATGCCTCGCGGCTGTATCTCAACATGGGAGAGGCCCATATATTCAAAACGTTTCCATCAGATGCGCTAGTGCCGTTGGAGGACGAAGGCGTGGGACGTCTCAAGGGAGTTTATGAGGCGTGGATTCCCAGACGCGGAGCCGTCACCAGAGACCGGCTAAGCGGCGTGTATACGCTAGTTTTTCTTAATTCCAGCTGCTGTGAAGGCACAATAAGCTGCCAAAACACATCGCACACTCGCAGGATCCGCAAGCATTATGTGCAGTGCCTGTATGCAGGAACCGGCGTACGTCGTGGATGCGGGCTTGTTGGAGATTCGCCATGCACCGGCATTGAGCTGTGGATAAAGGGAAGCTTGCCGGTCACCGGTCCCTGGGTCCAGTCCATGTATGTTCCGCCCGACGAGCGCCTGAATAAGCTGTGTCTGGTGGCTGCGCCCAGATCAGACTTTACAAAGGTCTTCAACGCAGGCAATTCGCTGATGGAGCGGCCTGATCTAACGGCCGGCCCCAGAAATTCCGTGTTTGAGCTGGACAGCGATGTGTATATTTACGTATGTCGGCTGTCTCCATGCTCGTCTATCTGCTACACCGCTGCTTCAGCTGTGCGGTCTAAAAGCGAGCCGCCAATGTACGAATTTCCGCGGATCCACCGTGCAGCAACCATTTCCACAACCCTGCCGGGCACCGAGGCAGCTGCACACATGCATCGTCGATTGCGGTCTCCAAAACCGGGCAAAACCCGCAGCGTCTATATCCATGTCTACAGCAACTTTGCTAAAGATGGCCGTACACGAACGGGCGGAGCTCGCCTGATGCTTCCCAGCTCAATCCAGCTGTCTAATGGCGACGGAATCCACCTTAAAAACGTTACACCTGCTGCCGACATTAACATCAAGAACGCTGGGTTTGACCGTGCTCAGTTTATCTTGATCGACATGCCTGGGTATCAGGATGACAGCGACGATGCTCGCAGCATATAACTTGTTATTTTGTAATTGTACTCTTTTTTCTTCTTCTTTTGTTACTTCTCTAGTTATTAATTTCTCATCACTTGTTCGCACATAGCCAAAGCACAGTATTTTCAGCGAAGAAAGCATCGTTGAAGCAGCACAGCTTACATATTAGCGCATCACCAAAGCCCATGTTTGGCAAACTGTAAACTTCAAAGCAAACCGTACATTCATAACTCTTTCTAATGAAAGCCCATCGTGCAATTTAGCCTGCTTAGCGTGTTTGACAGATATGTATTTGTGATACATAGATAAGTGGCTTTAGTAGCATTGAAAACCATGTTAGTTACTTAACGGAACAAAGTTTTGGTTGGGTCTTTGTAAACCTCTTGCATTGGTGCCTGGTGTCGACATGCTAGGGTATTGTGCATGGCCCAGTTGTAGCTTAATTACACTCGACTGGGTACCGGGGGCCTTTGTTTCAATTTTCTTGAAAAAAATTTCGGTTATCCTGTGCATTCCGTTGTTCAGCAACGCTTGTCTTGGCTCTGGGTACGTGGGTAATGAGGGTTCGCATCTTTCTCTTGACTTTGTCACTCTGGTTGTTGTTGCACCAATGCACCTTAGTAGATATGCCGTGGGCATTAGATTCACTGGAAATGAAGATTTTCGAAATACACTGCTGATTGAATTGCCGCCATTCTGACATATATGTCAGAATATGTAATAGTAGTGCGACATGGTACTGTTGGTTGTGTTCCCAGCATCTAGGGGCATGCCTTATAGAGGTAGATGACTTTTCAACGATGCTTTCCAACAACTAGGAACATACATTTCTAGTTGCTGAAAATTCTCAATTTTACAAGGGGAACAGAGATAAAGATATGTCTTTATTGTGAAATTGCCTTCTTATAAGCAATTTTTAAATAGAAATAATTCATTTCACATATTTATTGAAACCAATAGCTGTATTGTATTTATAACCAGGCTATGCTGTAGGACTGTTATAAGCCATAGGATTGCTCACACTATATTAACAATTATTTTATGGTGGAGCTAGTTTTTTTTTTTTAAAAAAAAAATTGAAGTAGCCACATTCAGCCGCTCCATTCGACAGTTTCACAATAATTGCATGCTAAAATGTCTAGAGCAATAAAAAGTATAATCCCAAAGCTCAGTATGGAACAGAAAATCCACTTTTTAAGTTGTGTTTCCAGGACAACCTGATTAGTATAATAGCTGTGTATTATACGCCAGTTGTTTTGGACTCGGTCCCAAGATTACCACAAATGAAAATAAAAATAAAATAAATAATCAGTTTTTATTAGCCAGCAAGGCAAATAGTATATATTGTGTTAAATAGAAATGGCCTCTCCAATCAATTTATTATTAGATTATATGTAATAAAAAGTTTATAATTCTTTCCTCTGAATTTTACGTAATATTATATATACTGTTGTTTTTAAACCAGTATTATATATACTACTAACCATCCTCAATCTTTGTTTTTGCATTGCATTATTGCGCTTAATAAAATTATAGTTTATATACTTATCCAAAAATGTATTAACCTTTCACGGATGCTCAATTGAGTAAAAATAATTTTTTTTTTGAAAAAAGCATCACCATTGATAATTTATATATCTGTACTTTCAAATTGACATAATTCAACAGCCGAACCAAACTACGCCCTGGTAGCTGGTTTACTTTTAACTTGGGTAATCTTGACATATAATTATAATGGACTAACATAACTCTGTACAGCTTTTCGAACACAAATATTTTCTGAGCAAATATCTAGCAGTGTTGTTAAAAGTAACTGGGAATACAAAAGGCTAAATAGAATTGTATTTGTTCAAGGTCTGTGCTAAAAATATGTAGTACTACCAACTTTACAGCCAATGTCATTTTTATAGTGCGGCTTTGCTGCAAATTTGGGACAATAAAATAAGTACAAATAACTGAATAGCCTTTATTTATAGAGAAAAAAGCTCTTCAAATGCAAGAGCAGATAAGGTACATAAGCAAGAGAGATACTTAGTATTCATTAGAAGCAGTTGACAGTACACACCGCATGCTTCTGGTAACCGGCTTGGTCTGATAAAACTGATCAGATGTTAACGCTTCTCCTAGCTGTAGCTTAGAAAATGTACTTCCCTGGCCAGGATATGATTCCTCAAGTTCATTGTAATCAGCTTGTTTTCTGCTAAAAGGCTCTATATCCTGACTGGTATTCCTTGAACGGGATACATCAGAATGAATTATTTGTTCAGATGGACGTAAACGCTGGCGCAACTTGTTTAGTCGCTGTTTGCTAGATTTGTTAGATTTGCTTTGGCCGGATTGATTTAATTCTTCATTCTGTAGTACTTGATTGCTAGGGAGAGGTAGTAATACTGTGCTAGTATTGTGCACATTGCCAGAAACTGGAGGAGAAATGCGTTCAGAGTGCATATTCATGTTTGGTTTTGGATAAATAGTCACGTTTCTTTCTATAAAACTGGTTTTGGGAATAAAGTCGATTTATATTTTTTCAATTATATTTAGTGATATATTTACTGCACCACTGTAGTAGGACTACCCCAAACCACAGATCTCGTGCTATAGCACATCGTTTTTCCTCTATTCATTTTAGCTTTATAATGAATCATTAGTATTGTTACAGAGCTCACAAGATGTTGAGCTATTGGGAAAAGCACAAAACGGTGCTAGAAACTATAATATAGTGAATATATTTTCAGTAAGGAAACGAAAACTTGTGCTAAAGACTAGCGCATTTATAGCCAAGAACGAGGTGTCAGGACTTCAAAATATACAGAACATCATCTATTGTGACTTGCACATGTAATAATATACATGCATTCAATATTGAAGGCGCAAAAGGGCTCATCAATAATAGGGGGATGAGATCATTAGCTGATCAACTCGAATACATAACAGGGCCAGCAGATGGCAATCCATCCGAGGAGGGCTCATAGTCCTCCCGGGTTACCCGGCTGGGTACAGCATCCGCTCGGGCACTATGCAACACTCTTCACCACACATCAGTCTAACAAAAATAAGCCTAACTTTCCAATAAGAATGTAAGACAATTGTTTTTTTTTAAAAAAAAAAAAAGTTGCCTACTACCGGATTCGAACCGGCGATCTTCTGTTTTCTAATTCTTGGATTACAAGACAGATGCGATGCCACTTCGCCAAGCAGGCTAAACTAAACTAGCACGGTGTACTTCTTCGTTAGAAAGCCCTATGAATGTATGGTTTGCTTTGAAATTAATTGTTTGTTAATTTTATTAGTTTTGGTATAGTCTATCAAGCTTCATGTGCGTATTATATGTAATAGTTACATTTTAACATTTAACTGTTAGTCTATCTCTATTAATACATGCATAGTTGCTGGCAGTTATTTTATTTACTTAGGTTATGTTTTGAAAAAGGTAACAACGAGAAGAATATAACGTTAACTTTTTAATATTGCTTAGCTGGCTATGGTTGATTATATTCATTATCTCGCAACTTTTGAACTTTTCATTTATTATAGACGCCTGCTTTTTCATTGCCTGTAATCTGACTGCTTAATAGGTCTAAGGAATAAACTGCATTGTGTTTTGTTTTTATATGTACCAAATATCCTAAATTTTTGTTCTTGCTTTTACTATTTCGCGTTTTTTTACAAAAAGAGGGAGTTGACAACTGGGCATGCGATGCAATGAAGACAATTAGAATGATCTACAATACACGACTTGTTGCGAGTGGCGGGGAAGAGTCAAAGGTCTTAGCGGATACTGGCATTTATGCTTCTGCTGTTCTTTTTTTCTTCAGCTGGAGGCTGTTTGTGAAGGGCTTTTTGCGAGCCATTCGGCGCTTTTTAAAATAACAGGAAAAAAGTTTCTAAGAATAGAACGTGCATCGGTCTTCATGCGGTCCAGAAAGCTCTCAGTGTGGACGGTAGATCATCAGGCCAGCACATGGGTGGAGACTTGCAGGATTAACTCGGTGCTGGCGTCCATTGGAATGTATTTATTTTGATGAGCGTACGACAAGACCTATAAGGTGCGGAAAGGACGGCAAGAACAGTGTAGTTTTTTTTCCCGCTCTTTTCTTCCCTTCGTACAACATCAACTTTCGCCTTCCTTTACTCCTTTTTCACCCCCTTTTAACCATGAAGATTTCGCTTTCTCAACTTGCTTTGTGTGCCGTATTGGCAGTAGCATCGGTCAATGCCCAGGATGTCAACTCAGACAATGCTGAGGCTTCCAGCAGCACCGGCGGAGGCCAGCTTGGAGGAGGATCCTTGGGTAACGGCAGCATTGGAGATGCAGTTGCTATTACCAACTCTAACCATGTTGAGCCGACCACCTCTAGCACGACTAATGCTGGCGCTGATAACCAGGCTAAAGACAACTCGCAGTCGCCGACGGAACCAGCTGCTAGCAATGACAACGCACCTGCGCCCACGCCTACGCCTCCAGCCCAGAACCAGCAGCAGGGCCAGGAGGGCCAGGAGGGCCAGGAGGGCCAGGAGGGCCAGGAGGGCCAGGAGGGCCAGCAGAATGAACAACAGCAACAACAGGACCAGCAGCAGCAGCAGGATCAGCAGCAGGATCAACAGCAGCAGCAGCAGCAGCCTAGCGCACCCGCTCCATCCCAGGGCATTGACCAGGCCGAAGTTACTTCAGCATCCAACAACGCGGCTGGTGCTCCCGGAACCAGCGAGGCACAGAATACCGAATCAGAAGCCGGCAATTCGCAATCTGAAAGCGGATCCGAGGCTTTGGAGCAATCTTCGCTTGAGGATGACTCTAGCGAGGAAGGATCTTCGCTTGGTTCTAGCGAAGAGTCTTCGGGCTCCGAGGAAGAGAGCTCCGAATCGGACTCGGCTAGTGAGGATGACTTGGAAGAAGAGGATAGCTCGGAGACCACCAGCGGCAGTGCGCGTATGATCGGTTTGCCAGCAATGGCCATGGTAGTTTCGGCTGCAGTTTCAGGAATGTTATTCTAAGCCCAAATAAAATTTTTTTAATCTATAAAGCAGTCAGCGTCGCCGACGCGTTTGCGTGAAAACTGTTTGCGTTTGAGCGGATCGAGAATCTGCTTGCGCAGACGGATTTGAGAAGGCGTTATTTCAATGGCCTCGTCAGGGTTGACATAGGCGATGATTTCTTCTAGAGCCCAGGGCTTTACTGGAGTAAGGCGGATGGTCTCGTCTTTGCCAGCAGCACGAATATTGGTCAGCTGCTTTGCCTTGGTGGGATTGACCTCAAGGTCATTGCCGTCCTTGCTCAGCTCACCGACAATCATGCCTGGATACACGCTGTCGCCATTGCGCACAAACAAGCGGCCGCGTGGCTCCATCAGATTGAGAGCATACGAGGTGGCGGTTCCAGCAGACATACACACCATGCTGGACTTACGCGACTTTTCCAACACGCCGGCATGCTCGCCGTAGTGCAAAAAGGAGTGGTTCATGACGCCGGTGCCATGGGTGTCGTTTTTGAACTCGGAGGCGTAGCCCAGCAGGCCGCGAGTGGGGATGTGGAAGACCAGCCGTGCTTTGTCGGCAACATCCGTGAAGGATTTGAGCTCGCCCTTGCGCTTGGTCAGCTTCTCGATGACAATCCCCGAAGCAGCATGGTCCACGTCAATGGTGATTTCCTCGTAGGGCTCCAGCACCCGCTGCTTGTTCTCAGGGTCGCGCTTGAACAGCACACGAGGAGGCGTGACCGACAGCTCAAAGCCCTCACGACGCATAGTCTCGATCAGCACCGACAGCTGCAGCTCGCCACGGCCGCGGACCTCCATAGACTCAGACTTGCTGCCGCCGACAATCTGCAGAGCAACGTTGGTCTCGGCTTCGCGCAGCAGGCGGTCGCGGATCATGCTGGATGTCAGCAAAGAACCCTCGCGGCCAGCCAATGGCGAGTCGTTGACAGAGAACGTCACGGAGATGGTGGGCGGGTCGACAGGGACGAATTCCAGCGGCTGCGACACTTCAGGACTGCCAATGGTGGAGTTGACGCCAACGCTGGGCACACCGCTGACCGCAACCAAATCGCCGGCGCCAGCCTGCGCCATCTCGATCTGGTGCACGCCGCTACGCAAAAACAGCTTGGTGACTTTGCCTTCCTCAGTGACCTCGCCAGAGCCAGGCGCCAGCACACGGATACGGTCACCCACACTAACGGTGCCGCTGGCCACCCGGCCCAGCGCACATTTGCCCAAATAAGAGTTGGCCTCCAGCTGCGTCACCAGCATCGAGAAGGGCGCGCCTTCGCGCTGGCCACGTGGCGGCGGCACGCGGTCCAGAATAGCGTCCAGCAGCGGGACCATGCTGCCATTGGTGGGCTGGCCTTTAGCTGCCGCGTCGCTGTACGCAGCAACGTCGTCCAGGCTGCGTGAGCACCAGCCCTCCTTGGCAGACGCAAAGAGCATGTCGTAGCTGGTTTGCTCGTCGCTTGCACCCAGGGCCAAGAACAGCTCCAGCAGTTCCGAGTCCACCTCGTCCGGGCGCGACGTGGGCCGATCTATCTTGTTAAGCACCACCAGCGGGTGCAGGCCGCGCGCCAGCGCCTTGGTCAGCACAAACTTTGTCTGCGCCATTGGGCCCTCCGACGCATCCACCACCAGCACTACGCTGTCCACCATTGACAGAATCCGCTCCACTTCTCCGCCGAAATCCGCATGTCCTGGCGTATCCACAATGTTAATGCGGTGGTCCTTGTACATCAGCGACGTCACTTTCGACAGAATTGTGATGCCTCGCTCCTTTTCCAGCGCATTCGAGTCCATCACCCGCGTTTCCTGCATGGTTGTTCCTGACAGTGCTCCTGACTGCTTTAGCAGGCAGTCCACCAGCGTTGTCTTTCCGTGGTCCACATGGGCTATGATCCCCACGTTGCGGATCCGCTCCATCGGGATCATATCTCCCAGATCGGCTGCCTTGCTGTCAGACTCCGATCCTGCTGCTTGCGCCTGTATGGCTAGCCGGGCAGTCGTGTGGATGCTGGCTGCGGTACGAGGTACAAGCATAGACACGGGCAAAATGCGGCCTGCACACACCGTGCTAAATCCTGCTAGTTGCCGCTGGCGGCTAGTCCGTGCTGTGCGCACCATTCGGCGACCCGCAACGCGAAGAGCCGATTTCATTCTGAAGTAAATAGAGCTAAAAAGATAAAAAAGATTATAGTAATCTCAGATCACTGGATAATTTTTCTCCTTTTTTTTTCAAATGAGCAGCGAAATTATACCAACTAGCCCGCCACGGAGCAACCCCAATATCCTGGTGACGGGTACGCCAGGAACCGGCAAGACCACCACAGCTGAGCTAATTGCGCTGGCCACAGGGCTCAAAAAGCTGACGGTTGGCGACCTGATCAAGGAGCGCAGCCTGCACGACGGATACGATGCCGAGTTCGACACGTATATTCTCAACGAGGACAAGGTGCTCGACGAAATGGAGGACATGATGAGCGATGGCGGCATGTGCGTGGACTTCCACACATGCGAGATGTTCCCGGAGCGGTGGTTTGATCTGGTAGTCGTTCTGCGCACAGCCACCGACAAGATCTACGACCGCTTGGAGAAGCGCGGGTACAAGCAGAACAAGATTGAGGAGAACCTCGAATGCGAAATCATGCAGGTCGTGCTGGAAGACGCGCTGGAGTCGTACAAGCCCGAGATCGTCATGGAGCTGTCCAGCAACACTGTGGAGGAGATGGAAGCCAACGTTGAGAAGGTGCTGGAGTTTGTCCAGCAGTTCCGGCAAACTCACTGATCAGCGCTTTGCCCGTTGATTGATCAAAATGGTCTGTGCTGGCCAGTTCCTGGATTTGGTATAGGCGCGTGACTTTGGGCAATCCGCGCCCTTTTATTATCTACTCCTCTCGCCTGGCGCTGGCAAGAGATAAAGAGCGATAACGCACATCTGCATGCTTTCTTTTCTTTTCTCTCTTTAATGATATTTAGATGAACACTTATGGCCTCGCCTGCTTTTGACTCCAACCCGATGCGGGCACCGCTGCCCGCGCTCACGCCTGAGTTTGTCGCTCAGCACTATCCACCGCACCTGCAGGTCGTGCACGTCGACCTGCTGCACCGACATGGCGAGCGCACGCCGGTTGCTCACCGCATTCCTCAGCTTTCGCCCAAGCACTGGAATTTTTGCGCCACCGGTAACCAGCTGCACCAGGAATTTCTCAGGACGGTGG